GACTTCCAGATGCTTACTCACTTTTCAGGAGAACTTGGTTGATTTTTGTTTGTTTAACCAATGCTTTTCAAATCATTGAGTGCCTCAGTGGCGAGCACTGCCTGCCCATGGCACCTACACTCCCCCTCCCCACCCCTATGTGTTCACTCCTGGCCCAGGTTCCCTCCCGTTCTGCTCTACTATTTCTAACTTACCAAGAGGTACAGGCAGAAGAAAAATACTTGTTCCCCTATCAGCTGCAATGTGGTGCTGATAAAGAAAGGCAAATCCCAAATCTATGATTTTGTCTTAGTCCTTTGGGTTCCTACCAAAAGATTAAGCATTTCTCAAACTGCATTTCCTAGAATGGTAGAAAACACAGTAGGCGCTTGGGCAACAAGATCCTGTGGTCAAATAAGATTGGGAAATGCATATGTTCTCTCCCTCCCCTTGGGCATTTACCGTACATCCCGGGATCATGCAATAGATAAGCCTGTTTAAATTTGCTTAGTCTAGCGATTTCCAATGTATTTTACCATAATCTATCCTGCCCCCTTCCCCTCCAGAGCTTTTCTTCTTGAAGTCTAATATTTTCTGTAGTTCAGAAAGGGCCATAAGAAAGATATCATTGCGAATATGCAACTGGGTTTTTCAACAAACATTTAATAGAATATGACATTTTAGCCCCCGGAAGGAAGAGGACAGATGGAACAAGTTTAAATTGCATCAGGAAGTCCTGAGATTATTTCCCAGGAATGGCATCTTAATTAAGAACATTCTTCCTTTGGAAACATCTGATATAAGAAACAGCCAACTATCTTTGTGAAAATGGTTGGAAAGCAGCCCTATGAAAACGCTGGGCAGAGAAAACAAAAAAACACCTCCCCACCCCCCAGGATGTATTTTTAATAATAGGGAAGGTGGAAAGGGGAAATGTACAAAGAAATAGAGGGCCGCTTCGTCTTCCCTTACGTAAAACACTTGTAGAAGAGAAGGCAAAATTTATTGTTGCAGAAGTAATGATCAGCACCGCGCGAGGAACAAAGCGCTGGGAGGGTCATGAAACACAGCTGGGAGTGACATTTCCATACAATGCTGAGGCCCCATAGATTCTGGAAGCAAAGCTCCAACTCTCTTATTTGCTCCCCTCCCTATCACTCAGTAATAATAAGAGAAACACAAGTGACAAAACCCACCCAAAGCCACAGTGGGTGAAAAAGAAATACTGACACTCGTTTCATTGTCATTAGCCCTGGAACTGCTTCCTGTCTCCAACGGCAGTGTCTAACAATGATAAAGCCTTGCAATGGGCAAATGCCATCTACGGTGGCATTGGCACCTACAGATAAAGCAGCAAAGATGATCCCAGCACTCGGGAGTCTCATTGGATTTGACAAAGGAAGAATGCTCCTAGCACCCAATCTAGTACTTCTATTTGTGTATGACAGAGGGAGTAAAAGACAAGGTTGTTTTTCTTTATGTTTTGTAGCAAAATAATATTGAAAAAATCAAACCAAGATTTCATTATTCATCCCTAATTATCTGTCCTAAATGCTACCTTTTTTTTTTTTTTTTCCTGATAGGAGACTGTATTGTTGCACATTTTGCATCCTGGCTGCTTAGAAACAACCAGGAAGGGTTCAGAACTCATGGTAACCATCACTGCTCTGTTATTTCTTTGTGTCTTTTGGGAGTTTTTTTGTTTTTTTGTTTTTTTTTTTTGAGACAGAGTCTTGGTCTGTCATCCAGGCTGGAGTGCAGTGGCATGATCTTAGCTCACTTCAACCTCCACCTCCCAGGTACAATCAATTCTTGTGCCTCAGCCTCTGGAGCAGCTGGGATTATAGGCACGTGCTACCATGCCTGGCTAATTTTTGTATTTTTAGTAGAGACAGTGTTTTTCCATATTGGTCGGGCTGGTCTTGAACTCCCGGCCTCATGTGATCCACTTGCCTCGGCCTCCCAAAGTGCTGGGATTACAGGCATAAGCCACCACACCTGGCCAGTTTTGAGAGTTTTTATGCTATAGAAACGAGAAGGAGAAGGAGAAGGAGTTGCACTCGAATTCCTGCCTCTGTTTCCTGAGGGGCCAAGAAAGATAACTTCAGTGTTTATCCATAACGAAATTATGGCCAACATAAAATGTAATCCTATACAGCTAATAAAAATATAAAAATATTTAATGACATGGAAACATATTCTAAAAAACAGATTAGAATTCCAAATGAGCAGTACAGTAAGATTTAATTTTGTTAAAAATGAAACAGAAAAGGCCAGGCGCAGTGGCTCATGTCTGTAATCCCAGCACTTTGGGAGGCTGAGGTGAGTGGATCGCCTGAGGTCAGAAGTTCAAGATCAGCCTGGCCAACATGGAGAAACCCTGTCTCTACTAAAAATACAAAATTAGCTGGGCATGGTGGTACATCCTGTAGTTCCAGCTATCAGGAGGTTGAGACAGGAGAATCGCCTGAACCCAGGAGATGGAGGTTGCAGTGAGCCGAGATCATGCCATTGCACTCCAGCCTGGGTGACAAGAGCAAAACTCTGTCTCAAATAAATAAATAAATAAACAAACAGGAAAAAATGAGAATAGAAGTAAACAATAGCTGTCTCTGGGCAGTAGATTTGTGAGTGACCCTTATTTGATCCTCGGTGTTCTCAGAATTACTCTCTGATACATACTTTAACTACTTAACATTTTATAGAATATTTGTGGAGCAAAGTAATGAAAATCCACACTATCTTTCTTTAGCTAAATACAAACTAATGATGTATATTGATGAGTTTCTTTGTTTTCTAGGAAAAATTTAAAAAATTCTTTTTTTCTAGAAAACGCTGAGTGTGATGGTGCTGAGCTTCATTTTGAACTTGTTCCTGTGGAATGAACAGGGAATATCAATACTTCAGGGAACACAGACTATAGATTTCCTACCTCACTGGTTCAGCACATAAATACACTGAGATATGAATGTGGGGGGTTGGCTAAACAGAGAAAATATAAATATATTTTGAGTAAATCAAGAAGCTATAAAGAAGATCAGAGATTTGGAAAAAGACAGTTCTCATATTCTTCTTCTGTTATCTACAGGGAAGACCCTGACACCTCATAATGTCTGTCCCTGGTTTCTTCACTTATGAAATAGATGACCAGAGAATTTTGAATAAATTGTATTTGAATGTCAAATCTGGTTAAGGCATCGACTGCAGAATCTCATCAATGGTTCACAGAAATTTCAAATGCTTCTGATAAAAAGCAAGCAGCCACAATGACATGTTAGGAAAGAATACTGGCAGGACTAATATTAAAGAGATTAGTTTGGCTCAAAACTTAAATACAACACTGCTAATAAGCTACATTGTAAATACAGATGTTTCTGCAGCACAGATCTCCCTGTGCTTACATCCATTCTGAACAACCTCATGCTTTTGGATCTCTTTACATAAAGCTCTTGGCATAAAGTAGAAGCTAAACAAATGATTTCTTTCCCTTTTCCATTCGAGTGGCTTAGTTCCCAAGAATGAATTAGAGTTTCAGTGGGAAGTTAACCCATGCAGAGGCAAAACTTGTAAATCTTCCATCATATGGGTTTATACAACTATTTCTAAAATGTGTGAGGTATTCCACAGTTCCTGCTTTCTAAGCTCAAGTATGTGGAGTATGATTTAACTCATCAGCTGATGCCCCATGGCCACCACTGTGCTGTGTTGCTGGCAGGTTTCTGAGGTTTGCCATGGGCTGCTGCCCCTAAACCCACCACTGGTCTCCAGTGCCCTTTTCTGATCCTCTTACCCAGCCTCACAGCACCCCTTTCCAGGCTTTTTATGGGTTATTACCTCTATTACTGTATGTTGTAGCTTCTAATGAGCTTCCTTTATTTATGAAAGACAAAGGAGAAGGAGGAAGGAGCCTGGACTAAGATTTTGGGATGGAAAAATACTCATAGCTTATTTTACTTTTTGACTCTGATATTAGACTGTTAAAGTTGTGGATTAGTTGCAGAAAATCTGCCCTCCAGAGAAGCATGCACTACTAAAAACAAACAGCAAAATTATCCCATATTCCCCAAACAAAATAGTGATGTGTTCCAGTAGAGTATAGAAACTATATCTGTATCTACAGACACCCCCCAGCAACCCCCATGTGCTCATATATTTCTGAGCCTTGCTATGTCATGCACTCTAATGATAAAGCACCTCACAAGAATGCTGTGAGGGAGGTAGTATTATTATCTTCACTTTGGAGGGGAGGAAATGAGGGGTTTGAGAGGTTACATCCTCTTCCCAAGGCCACCTAGCCAGCAGTGGAGAGTGAGGATTTGAACCCTTGGCTAATCGGATGCTGTCATCCTGCTGCACTATTTCCTTACGGATCAATAGACTGACAACGTAGAGGATCTTTGCTTTCTTTTAATGTTATTTGCTTAGATGGGGACCATAAAAAGTTAACATGTTTGCAGGTAAGCAAAATCCTATGATTTAATCTAGCTTTGGATTCTTCCCATTGATTTACCTTAAAGCATGTGGATTGATGACTGGGATCTTTTATGAAATTGAACTTTCTTATGGATTTGAAAGAAAATTCAGGCAGGTTGATAGGTGAGTTCAATTTAAATCTTTTAGTGATACTATTGATGAGATATCTATGATTTCACCTGATTTATGTCTTTATTCCCCTAGTCTGACTGTCGGTGTAAGTACACCGTTCACAAAATGTGTTTGTAGAAATTGATAAACAACGTAAAATTACGTTGATAAACAACGTAAAATTTTGATAAACAAAGTAAAATTACAGTACTTTAAAATAAGAAAGGATTTTAAAGATAATCTAGCTTTGCACTTTCATTTCTTACTATGAAACCTGAGGTTATGATGTATTCTTGATGTATTCAAGGTGATCAGGGTTGGCAGCATTAGCAGGAATAGATAGTAGTATTATTGTTTTTTAAAGCATGGGCAAGATGTTTTATAATCTTATAATCTAGGACCTCATCTATATCATATTCTGTACCCAAATGTCTTACCTCCAAATCCATCAGGCACGTATGTTTTAAGAACAATATTGCAGAAAATTGTTGGCAGTGATAACGGTTTATTTCCCTCATTTCGAAGGGAAATGTGTCGGTATCCTGCTTGGAGGCCATCAAGCGGGAGGATCCTCTGGCCAATCAGCTTGTTGTTATCATCATACACTGCTATTCTCAAGACAGCCAGGTCTGGCAGGATCACCTGAGAAAAGAGAACGGGAATTTTCACTGATTTTTCCAATGCAGCACCCAAGAACCATGACTCTAAGGAGTGTGGACCAAATCCATGCTGTTCTTAAATGTTTCCTGATGTTGAAAGTAAGTCCATGATCAATCTGCATTCCCAAAAATGTACTGCATGAGCTATCATGCCCCAGACACTGAGAAAAGCAATTGGAACATGTTTCCTGGAAATTATCTCATGAAAAATGTTAGATAAAATGAATGTTAAAGATTACTGCTTCAACCCTTGTGATTGATCCTTGTCCCCACCCATATAATGGATGAGAAAAACGACACACTGAGAAATCAAGCCACTTTCCTTGATCTCAGAGATATCAGTGACAGAGTGGTGTCTGGGAATTGGGGATCTTGAGGTCTAATCCTGTGATCAAATATCTGACATGCTCCTGACGTCTATATTTGTTTGTTTTTAAGAATATGAAAGGTATCTCTGAACAAATGCTTCATGCATAAGAGATAACTTTTATATATAAATTTGGGTCCTCCTTGTTTCCTGGACTCCTCAGTTTTCAGCAAATGTTGAGATATCAAATAGAGTAAGATGCGGTAGCTAGAAACATTAACATACTTTGATTCTAAGACACCTACTCCTGCCATCCCCAAACTGAATACATGAACATAAAATCTGAGTTCAGATGGCAGAAACCTGATTCAGTTACAAAATAGCAACATTACAAAAAGGGTATCCAATGTGTTTAATCAGGAATGTCTTTTTATTTGCTAAAAGCAACCAGGACGTCTTACTTGATGTGAGTGCCATGTTTAGAGCTAGACAATGGATGGTTGCCTTTTTACATCTGGAGGCTATAATTTAATTCCAGCTTAATGAAGATGAAGAGGAAAAATCACGGCAAATTAGCCAATTCCCTCTCTCTTGCTCCCTTTGCAGTGAATAGAGAGGGTTGGGCTTTGCCATTCTTGCTATGTGAGATTAGTGAAAAATACAACAATGACAAGAAAGAAAAAGTTTTTAAAGCGCTTGTTAGCAGTGAAAAAAACTATTTAACTTCTGGAGAACAGAGAAGGACTCAGAATTGGCATCTTGTTTCTAGTGCCAGAACTATTATATATAAACACTAAGTTGGGTATTTCTTCATTCATCCAAAACATAAGAATACCTGAGTCAACTTTCTCAACTTCTAGAAATGTGAATAGGGATTATTCACTATGCCAAAGAACACTAGCCATACTGTGTTAGTATGCGCTAGAGCACTAGCGCATCCAGCTATAACAAATTGGAAATACCAGAGAAGGAAAAAACCAAATCATAGCTGTGTATGTAATTTACACCATATCCTGACAGGGACAGAGAAGACGACAATGGGATGCAAAGGTTGCGTGGATAACGGGATTCACATCCCAGGGTAAACTTAAATGTCAAAATGGCCTGTTTCATCAAACCTACGTTGATCTCCCTTCATTTGGTTTCTGTAAGCCAGTTACTCTATTCTGAAATGGATAATCCCTATTTTGTTAAGGCAAGAAGCCGATTATCTGTGTTGCATGATATACAAATGGAGCAGAACCAGCTGGAAATCTTGTGCCTAAAGAAGCAGCAAGAAATCATTTTGGTCAGGATAACAGGATAAGTAAGAAAGGTAAGTGAATATTCTTGGAGACAGCACTGTCAACATGTGGATTTTCCACTGCATCTTCAATAGACAAAAAATAAACCAAGAGAAAAGGTGAGTAAGAGATTAAAAACTGAACATGGGAAAGAATGGCTGTGATTGTTTTTAGGATCCAACACACAGTATTAGGAGAAAAAAGTAAAACACTAACAACAGCACAAGAAGGACAAGACCTGAAAGTAGGCAACAGGTACCACTCTTTCTGGAGACAGGACCATGCCAACTGACCCATGCACTGACGTCTACTGACCTAAATTTTGGAGTGCAGCATCTTACCTGACTACTTGGCTAAGGAAATAGTGTAAGTTACCAGTAACTTCCAGGGTAGGGAAGAACTCTCTAGTGCGCGATGGTGTCCACCAGCAAGGACTCATTCTAAAAGATGGCAAACCCAGAGCTGAGGCATTGCCATGCAAGAGATGGGCTCCTCCAAGGAGAGAGGAGAACCAAAAGGAGAGCGGGGCCAAATGGAACCAATGATCCTATGACAGCTACAGAAGTTAGCCATTAGGAGAGGAGAAAAAGCAGATGTTGTCGGTCGAATAAATGCCTCTGTATCGTGTAGCGTCTGTGAACTAAAACATGGTTCCCAAGTTAGTAGAGTAAGTTTGACATGCTGAAAATGTCCTACCTTCCGAAATACGAAAGACTCTTCATTGTAAACTGGATTTAGTCCATTATTCATAACCATACGAGTTCGGAATTCCTTACGTATAGTGTCAGTGGGCAACCCATACATATCCACTTCTACATAGGTGCCAATTTTCTTATCTGATAAGAATTGACCTGATATAACCTGCAGCAGCACAGAAATAGAGCAAAGACAAATAAACTCTGTGTAAGCATCAGTAGCAAAAAGTAATCAGGAAGCAAGAAATTCTGTCTTTTGGGTGGGAGCAGGAATTTCAATTATCTACGGCGATAATGTATTCATTCCTATTAAACCAAAACATTACTGAACAACTACTATAGGCAGAAAGACCCCAACTGTTTCAAGCAGATATTCTACCTTCTAGAACTGTCTAGAAAAAGAACAAAGAAAAAATATATGAATCATAATACAAATAAATAGTGTCCACGGCCTCTTCATCTCACATAAGTGTCTACACCTATGAAATGAAGTGATGAATTCAGGTATGTCCTAAGACCCTTCATAGCTCTGAAATTCCATCATGCCATACTTATTAATGATTTCTTTTAGAAGTCTTGAAAAGAGACACACAAAAAAGTGAAGTTAGAATTTGTCTGTTGTTATTGATATTGACACTGGTCAGCTAGGACAGTTTTACATATTTGTAAAGACCAATGTTAGTCTATCTACGATAAAGCTATGGAGAGACGATTTTTCATTTAGTGTTTAAATGACTATAGCCATTTATTAGGGTCTTTTGTTTACATTATTTTCTAGCTAACAATTTGAACCAGCTTTTTTGAGGTATATTTGACATACAACAAATTATATGCATTTAAAATGTACAGTTAGGCCGGGCATGGTGGCTCATCCCTGTAATCCCAGCACTTTGGGAGGCTGAGGCAGGTGGATCACCTGAGGTTAGGAGTTCAAGACCAGCCTGGCCAACATGGTAAAAACCCATCTCTACTAAAAATATAAAAATTAGCCAGGCGTGCTGGTGGGCACCTGTAATCTCAGCTACAGCTGCAGGAGAATCACTTGAACCTGGGAGGTGGAGGTTGCAGTGAGCTGAGATTGTGCCACTGCACTCCAGCCTGGGCGACAGAGTGATACTTGGTGTCAAAAAATAAAAAACGAAAAAATAAAATGTACAATTAGATCATTTGGGACATATGAGCACATCTGTGAAACTATCTCCATAATTAAGATGATAAAGATTTGCATCATCACCCAAATTTTCTTTGTGCCCTTTTGTAACCCATTCTTCCCTGCCCTTTTTTCAAAGGCCAGCACTGATTTAATTTCTGTCACTATAATTTGCATTTTCTAGAATTTTGTATAAATGGAATCATGTAGCAGGTACTTTTTTGATGGTGTCTTTCACTTTAAGTAGCTAATAATTTTACTAGTGAAAAAATGTGTCTCATTTTTTAAAAAGGGGGTGGAATCTTAAGTCAAGGTTGTGAGCAGCACAAGGATCTTGCAATTTAACATGAAATATTTTGTAATTTATTTCAAGGACCACTTGCATATACATTTATACTACCTTGTGATGAGCAGGGGCCTTACCTGCACTGAGCAAGTGGCTGCAATAACGCCATCAACAGGAGTTTCAGAGAAGGGGTCAAATGTTCGATCAGGCCGCCTCATGAAATCTGGTTTGAGAAGGTACCTGGTAGGACAAAAGCACAGAAGTTTATTAGTAGGTTTTACAAAGACTAAAACACTCGCTAGTTGAAACAATGAATGGATGCTTCCTTTTCTCCATCTGTAACACAGCAGCTAGGTTTTTAAGCAGAGAGTCCTAAGGATGGAAAAGAACATGCCTGCCCTTATGAACAACCTTAAAGAGCTGCTGGCTTAGTGGCAGGCTTAGTGGCATCCAGGACTTCCTGATCCTATCATCTTCTCTGGAACTTTTTTATTCCCTGGTCCCCTTTAAGTGCTTTTCTCTATATGTATAAAATAAAATGCAAAGAATAACAATGAAAAACCAATTATATTAGCTATAATTATCAAAATATAAAAATATGTGATATTCTACCTCTGTTATTAATTGTACTTTTAATAATGCATTAAATTATAAGATCTAATGGTAAGATCTAATTAGGATGACAATAATCTCAAAGCACAAAAATATTTTGAGACAGCTGTAACAACAGTAATGAACTATGACAATGTTTGTGATGAGAGAGTCACGGGTACCACTAATGTGACTGTCGATTGTTGTCTACATTCACAATCAAAGGAAACTGACATTTCAGCTAGAGGTAGGTGAAAATAAAAATAAATTATTTCCCCATTTCTAGTAGAAACAATTAGGCAAGAAAATGAATTAAAAGGCATCCAAATTGGAAAGAAGGAAGTAAACCTACTTCTAGTCACAGATAACATGATCCCATAAATTAAAAAAAACTCTAAGGAATCCACTAAAAAAACTATTGGAATAAATAAATTCACCACTATTGCAGGATACCAGGTAAACATATAAAAATTCAATTGTATTTCTATAGAACGACAATGAACAATAAAAATGCAATTAAGAAAACAATTATATTTATAATAGCAAAATATAAACTACTTAAGAATAAACTTTTTAAAAAAAATAAGCGGCTACACTTTGAAAACTACAAAACACTGTTTAAAAAAATTAAAGAAGAGCTAAATAAATGGGAAGATATCTTGCCTTCATGGGTTAGAAGACCATATTGTTAAGCTGGCAATATTTCTGAAATTGATGTGTGAATTCAGTGTAATCTCTATCAAAATCTCAGCTGACTTTTTTTGGTAGAAACTGACAAGCTAATCCTAAAATTCATATCGAAACTCAAGGGATCAAGAATAGCCAAAACAATGTAAAAAGAGAGAACAAAATTGGGTGTCTCACACTTCTTGATTTCAAAACTTATTATAAAACTACAAGATTTAATCAAGACAGTCTGGTACTGACAAAGAAAAACACATAAATCGCCGGGCGCGGTGGCTCACGCCTGTAATCCCAGCACTTTGGGAGGCCAAGGCTGGCGGATCACGAGGTCAGAAGATTGAGACCACGGTGAAACCCCGTTTCTACTTAAAATACAAAAAATTAGCAGGGTGCGGTGGTGGGCGCCTGTAGTCCCAGCTACTTGGGAGGCTGAGGCAGAAGAATGGCATGAGCCCAGGAGGCAGAGCTTGCAGAGAGCTGAGATCATGCTACTGCACTCCAGCCTGGGTGACAGAGCGAGACTCCGTCTCAAAAAAAAAAAAAAAAGAAAAAGAAAAACACATAAATCAATGAGACAGAATCAAAGTCTATAAATAAATCCAAGAACCTATGGCCAATTGATTTTTGACAAGGATGCCAAGACCAATCAATGGGTGAAAGAATAGTCTTTTAAATAAATAGTGACAGGGTAACAGGATAGTTCCATGCAAATAAATGGATGAGTAAGTAAAACTGGATCCTTACCCTATACCATATACAAAAATTAGCTCAAAGAGGATAAAATAACTAAATGCAAGAGCCAAACTACAAAATTCCTAAAAGAAGCCATAAGGACAAATCTTATGACCTGAATTTGGCAATGGATTCTAAACATAATACTAAAAGCACGTGCAACAATACATTGGATTTTCTGTTGAAAACTTTTATGCTTCAAAAGACACTATCAAGAAAGTAAAAAGGCTAGTCACAAAAAGGAAAAGAATTGCAATTCATATATCTGATTAGAGGCCTGTATCTAGAATACATAAAGAACAACTCATCTAGTTTAAACAATGGTCAAGTGATCTGAACAGACATTTCTCCAAATAAGATACACAAAAAACCAATAAGTACATAAAAAGATGTTTAACATCATTAGTCATTAGAGAAAAGAATATCAAAACCACAATGAGATATCACTACACATACACTAGGATGACTATAATTAATGAGTCAGATAACAATAAGTGTTAACAAGGATGTGGAGAAATTGGAACTCTCATATGTTGCTAGTAGGAGTGTAAAATGATGCATTCACTTAGAAAGGCAGTCTGGCAGTTCCTCAAAAAATTAAACATAGAGTTACCATATGACCTAGTAATTCCATTCTTATGCAGATAACCAAGATAAATGAAAACATATTCATACAAAAACATACAAAATATGAACATTCATAGCAGAATTATTTGTAATAATCCAGAGATGGAAATAACCCAAATGAATGGACCCAAATGAGCCCATCAATGAATGAACGTATGGCACAAAATGTGGTATATTTGTACAATGGAAAATTATTCAGCAATAAAAATCATAAGGTATTGATACATGTTACAACCTGGATAAACCCTGAAAACACTATGCTAAGTGAAAGAAGCCAGGCATGGAAGGCCATATATTATGTAAAATCATTTATATCAAATGTTCAGAATAGGCAAATACAGAGACAGAGGGTACATTAAAGTTCCTATTGGGAGACCAAAGCTAAAGGATACAGATTTTGAGGCAATGAAAATGTTCTGCAATTTATCCCCACTATACAATGTCTGCCCCTCACGTCCACTGGGTAGTGGTCATATAATCACACCTTGTCCAGATTCCATAATTTCCCTGAAACATGTGTCAAAAACCTTAAAAAATTAAAATTTTATTAGAAATAAGAATAACCATAAAGAATCCAAACTATAAGTAGTATATAAATGAAAATAAAAGTACTTTTTTTCCCAAAAGTAAAGGTTTGCTTTTAAATGTAAAAGAATCAAAATTAGGGGAACTCAAAAGTCTAAATTTCCTTAGAAGCATAACTTTTATGAATTTCAAGTCTAGATGATGTCAACTTCATTATCTTTTAAAATACAACCCAAAAGGGATCCTGAGTCATGATATTTTTTCTTTAAAGTTTAATGTCACTTTTCTTAGTTTTGAAAAAGTCACCATTCATTGTTACCTTCTAAGTCTGAACAAACAACAAAGTGTTAAAAATATTCCCTTACATTTGATAATCTAAAAAGGAATCTTTAAGAGACAACACTGATTTTTTATGAAGAATATAGAAATTTACACAATTGTTGAAATGTTAAAGGTGATTTTGAACACTCTTGTCTCCAAGAGAATGCACCTCACAATATTAATATAAAAGCTCTCTAACTATATAGAAGAGATTATCTTCTGTATTCATGAAGTTTTAGATTTGTAGCTTTTTTTTGTGGCTAGAGTTGGCAATGAGAAAATATGGTGATACAGCAAAAGGTAAAGAATCAGAATGGAAAGTAGGTGAGCAGCTACAATACTATGCTTGCATCTCCGAAGGAAGCCCACCAGCTTTCTCTGGAAGGAAAACCGACACAGACTGTGGGGGGAGGTAATGATAGTGGTTCTGGCTTTCAGGAGACGGGCAGCATTTGGACCTCAGCTGTGGCAAATGAGGGATTTTGCCTCCTGAGGAAGGTTGGGACTTGGATGAATCCAGAACTGGAGTCACCTTTCCAGTCCTGAATCTCCCTGGGAAGGAGTGTCCAGAGATTCCTCACTTTCCACAGTCCTTTGTTAAAGATCAAGAGCCCCTTCCCACCCACCAAAATAAGAAACGGATCATGGTGACATCTCAGGGTCAAAAACATTCTTCCACATCCCCCCGTTCAAATCTGCATGGAACACTCATCTGTGAAAGAGTGAATTGATCCAAAATGAGAAATGGCAGGGGAAAAGGGCAAGAAACCCATATCCAATTCTCCAAAGCAGGCAAGCTCTGGTGAAATGGGTTCATTTTGTATACTCGAAGAGGGTAAAACAGAGTACGTAGACGCTTGTCAGGACCATGAGGTAAGTCCTGGCCTGGGATAGGACACTTAGCAAGCTTTCTTTGAAGGTCAAAGGAGCATCTGTTCTGGGTCCAAGGCGGTCTGAGAGAGCAGCAGATGTTGCCTCTCATATCCCTGGTGGCTGTCAGGGTGCAGGGACCTGGGGTATTGATAGGGAAGCTGAAGCCAGAGTCTGGCACCAGAGCTGGCTATGCGGATGTACTAATTGTGCAGTTGTACAGGGCCCTGAATTCAGAAGGGCCCACACTTGGTTTAATGCTTGGTTTTACGCTCTGCATCCACCATCCTAAAATTCTCAGGAGCTCTTCATTTTCATTCTGCATTGGGCCCTGCAAATGACATAGATGGTCTGTTTGGTGCTTACTGGTACAGAAAATGAACTCATTCCAGACATCTAGGTCTGTGTGATAGGCACAGGCACAAGGTCAAAGCCAATGGCAAGGCAGGGATCCAAGGATTCTCTGTGGACTGTGTAGGGCCTTGGAAGGCAAGAGAGGGCGAGAAGAAGAGTTGCCAACCAGGTGGGTGGATAGGAGCCCCAAGAATGAGAAAATGGGGTCATAAGGAAACACATCCTATTTCATCACACCTAAGATGCCATCAGTTGTCCAACATGCCATTTTATGTAGCTGCAAGAAAGCAAAATGACTGTTGATTATAACTGCAAGTTGCTATGCATTATAAGACACATTCCAATTTGAGGATATTATACAATAACCTGCTTTATTTGCAATTTTGCTTTCTGAGGCTTCAGCTACCCCTGGTCAACTCTGTTCTAAAAGTATTAAAATAGAACCTAATATAAAAGTTGGAAAATAAAACTTTGAAATAAAAAATCGATTTTAAAAGATAGAAAACCCAATAGGAAAATGCGTAGAAGTTCTTCACAAAACAGAATATCGAAATAGCCAATAAACATAAAAAAGAGAAAAAATTAAGATATTTTGAGACCACATTCACATAACTTTTATTACACTATATTGTTAAAACTGTTCCATTATTAGTTACTGATGTTAATCTCTTACTATGCCTAATTTATAAATTAAAATTTATCACAGGTATGCATATATAAAACCACAGTATATATATGTTGGGATTGGTAGTTTCAGGCATCCACTGGGGTTCTTAGAACGTATGGCCTGTGGGCAAGGGAGAACTGCTATGTAAAAATGACCTCTGAATCATAAAATGACATACTATTTTGATATCAATCACCCACTTTCCTATGAAAGCCTAAAAAGATTTTAGATACTAATTTACACTATTTTGTTTCATTTGCAATTAGGGAAATGTCTTCCATTTTTCCATCTTCAAAAACGAGACTGTTAAAAGCACTGCTCACTTTCCTAGTTACATGCACACTTACTCGGCCCAGTGGTGTGCCCTCCCACAAGATCGGCCAGGGAGCACAGAAGGGGTTCCCAGGGGGGATTTCTGACATTTTGCTACAGTTGCTAGATCCTAGGGGTGTTTGTGTACTTTGCACACTGATGTCCTACATAAAACAGGGATTGTTTGCCTCCACAGGCCTCCACAGAGGCACAGAATGCCTCTTTAAGAAATGCAGTCCTCAGACTCAGCCCAAAGGGGCAGTTTTTAAAAGTCTTTGCAGGCGGGTGGGAGAACCACAAGGGTGACACAGTGAGAACCATGCAGTGCCCCAGCTTGCCCGAGCACCAGGGACAGGAGCTCCTGTGCAGCACTGGGCCCCACATCTACCATCACCATGGAACACAGAAGCATGCAGGTGAGGGCAATTTCTTCTTTTTTCCCTGCCAGTGACAGCCTTTGCCACCAGCTGGGTGTATGGGAAGGGGAATTAGGAGATTAGAGAGTCAACGGTATCCCTAATACTTTATCAAGCTGGGCTGCCCCACTGCATGGGCTATTTTTCAGCCTTTCTGGTGAGGTGTATGCTTTTAGTCACATAGTGTCCAACACATCAACACAGAATTCAGGCTAAAGTAGCAACAGTATCCTTGTTTGTGAAGGTATTTTAAAATAAATGAATGGATTTAAAAATGACCAATGAGGTCAGGCATAGTGGCTCACACCTGTAATCCCAGCACTTTGGGAGGCCAAGGCGGGCAGACTGCCTGAGCTCCAGAGTTCAAGAATAGTCTGGGCAACATGGTGAAACCCCATCTGTACAAAAACTACAAAAACTAGCCATGTGTGGTGGTGGGCACCCCCAGCTACTTGAGGGGTGGAGGAGGGAGGACAGATTGAGCCCAGGATGTCAAGGTTGCAATGAGCCACGTTTGTACCACTGCACTTGAGCCTGGGTGACAGAGCGAAATCCTGTCTTAAGAAAAAAATAAATAAATAACGGTGGAGAGAGTGAGATACTGCACATGCTAATGATGGCTAAGCAGAAACTCTAGGAAAAACAAACCAAACATAGGATTGTCAGGACTTTTTTTTTCTTTTTCTTTTTCTTTTCTTTTTTTTTTTTTTT